CCAATTATGAAATATTTTCAGAGTTGTCTGTGTGCGCAGAAATATGACGGTGTAAGATCTTGATTTTTAACAGCAAGAAATGGATGACTGAAAGCTGCAATAGCTAGGGTGTATGGGAACTGTTGATCATGGCCTGAACCTCTGATTGACCACTTGAGGCAAGCACTGAGTCAGCCATGGGAGCACAGGTGAAGGCAACTCACTTGTGTGATCGGAAGGGGTGGAGCCTGGCTCTACCTCTCCTAGGTCCCATGTAAGTACTGACTACAACTAAGGAAGGATCTCCTTCTAGAGATTGCTCCTTGTGGAGTTTACTGTGAGCCTGTGACATCAGTGAACACTTCCATTTATTTTCATTATCTTTCCATCACGATAATCTTACTAAGCCTAACCTTTGTACACCTATTGATTGTACACTAGGGATTAAAGCATTATTGGCTCTCTGTATCTAACTTATACTAACAAGTGATCTAACCATCCAGGCAATTCTAACATGAAGAATTACTGCACTAAATAAACAAAAACATAAGAAAGTGTATATTAGAAACCATCTTTGAGCCATATATTATGGAGAGACATAAACTATTTCCAGAGTACCTGACACCTTAGCCACTTCAAATACAACTCTCTCATTTAATCCTCTGTGAAATTCTGATCAGAAGTAATTGAGACATTATGTCTTTAAGTAATTTAATAATAATTCTCTGTCTTATAGACTAGGATTTAAAAAGAAATTTGAGAAACACTGATTGTCAAGGCCGGTTCAGGAGCTGAAATCAGGCAACCAATTAGGTTGTTCTCATAGGAAAACTGCAGTGATAATACTCATATTCAAATACCTCTGAGTCACTATTCTCCCATCTACTGCTCAATCAGAATATAAAACACCATGTCAGTATTCTTCCTGGCTCAGTAGGCTTCCTGGAAAACTTGGTTAAATTTTCTCCCTTCTGTTCCCTTCCCATTGGATTGTTCACCCAGGAGCTTTCCTTTCTTTTTTCCTTCTATTTAATTTATAAATAGTAACTTTATGAGAAGGGAAGGGATGGCATGGTTGTTTGTTTTTTTTTACCGAAGCTAGATTTTATGGGAACTCTGTCAAGTGGTAGAGAAACTGTGACTAAAATTGCCAAAATTTCTCAGGTATGGGCCACGTGGATGATTGTGAGTGGGACTGCAAGGAGCGTGATGATAGTTCTGTATCCATAAAATTATTTTAAAATACACAAATTCATGTTATCCATTAAAAAAAGTTGTTAGAAGTAGTATGAGAGACATGTAAGCTGTATAATGCATGCTACAAGAGAGAAACAAGGTGATAGGAAGATGTAATGTGAATACAAATTGTGAGTGTTAGAATTAGCAAAGCCTAAACAGAAGAGCTTTAAAGATTTCAGGTTGATTTCTTCTTCCTCTTCTTCCCTATACATTGAAGATGATTTTATTAAAAGTCAGAATTAATAAGCAAGGGTACTTCAACACCCATTATTAAAAGAAATGTGTTTATTGCAAATGTCTTAGCAAATGTGAACGAGGGTAGTTGGAGTCCTGCAACGCCTCATCACATGCCTCCATCCCACTGCTGGAGGTGCATGCTGGGGCACCTTGAGCACAAGTCTGACACAAAAAATTAGAGATTTGCAGGCTTGACATCTTGGAGAAGGAACGTATATGGGTTCAGAGTAGTCCCATTTCTGTGTGCCTTAGGTGACACTCTACGGAGATCTAAATAAGTTCCTTAAGAGTCTTTTGTTCTGAGAACATAGTTCAATACATAAATACAGATTAATTGTTTTAAGTTCCCAAACTGTCTTGTTCAGAGCTTATTCACTGCATACAACAGTGCATGGATTAGTATGTTTCCTTACATATCTGAGTTGATCCTACATCCTTTTAGGCTGTTCTACCTCAGTCGCCTTTTTTTTTTTCCTCCTTCATAAGAATTTAATGAGAAAAACTTTAAATCAGTTCACAGAATTCATGGAAATGACTGAGTTTTCCCGATTCCAGGAAGGCAAGACTCATCTCATTTGGCCTTGGGTGTTTACAAGCAAGGAGAGAAAAGGACAAATTTTGGATTTGTTTGACTTATGCTAGTTAGATATTTATTAGACATTTATTGCAGGGTAAGATGACCCATGGACTACACTCTTTTGAGTATATTAAGTCCTTGTTATTTATAAAGAGGTCCTCGGTTGTTTATTCAATTAATCAGATGAATTATCCTGGATAATGTCTAATGATTTTCCAATGAGTACAGAAAATTTGTCTCTAAACCTCAGTACAGAATTGCCTGGAGTAATGACTAATCTTGTTAATATTTCAGTTTTCAATATTTTTTTGGCAAATCTACTCAGATTTGGCAACTAATACAGCAACAGTATCAATTTCACTAGATGCTTTCATCAGTTATAACCCGGGGGGAAAAAAACCATCAATAAATAATAATTTGTCCATATACAGAACTTTACACCTGATTCCATATTGAAAACAATAATGGTATTCACCTCTTCGGGGAAGAGAGAGAAATTTCTGTAAACATAAAAGAAAATTATTTGCTGAATCCACTGATGCTCTTGATTTCATTCATATTTAATTTAATATGGTACAAGAAATCTGGCAGTAGTGCTACTGAGAACTAGGTGTAGTTAGTCTCTTTTTGTGTCAGACACTGAAGATATATGCAGTGCAAGTGACTGTCTATGCAAAGGGTTTCGCCCTCAATCTTTAACTTTTTCAGCAGATGAAACACTGACTAACTTGTGATAACTGTGAAGCAGTTGTTACTGACTGAGACACCGCCTGGTTGTTTTGTGGTAGACAGACAGAACCTCACAGCGTGATAAAGGTTGGTGGGCAGGCACAGTTTTGAAAGTGTCCACTATTGGCTCTATCACTTCAAAAGAGAAGGAGCTGAAAGAAAGCAGTATGTTTTGTAAGCACTATGATCTTTGATGCTCCCATCTAAGTGACAGTGCTGTTCCCTCGTTTCACACTTATTTTATCTAGTACATTTTAGAATGAATGTGTTTCAAGTGTGTGTGATATAAAAGTAGTACAAGGAACATTGTTTCTCAGTTGTGTTTCAGGGAAGTCTTACTTTTCACTTCATAATGAACAAGAATGCTGGAAATTCATATGAACTGGCAAACGTAAGCTGCCCATGCAATTCAATTAGGTAAAAGACTGATAAAAGATCTGATCAAATTTTCTAAGCAAATATATAATATGCATGCTTCCTAGCTAACTGAAAAAGGTGAGTAGTACTTCTGAATGTCCACAATCAGTTCAAGAACACTACTGGAATGAAGAGACACAGCTTGGAATAATCTTCCCTTTGTGAAGAACATTATACAATTTAGTAGAAAAAGTAAACTAATTTCAACTCATCTGATAATGTTTCAAAGAGAATGAATTATATTCAAGAAAGAAATGCTGACAATTTCTTAAGGAAAATTTCCTGAGGGAAATGTTTTATGTCAAATGCTATAGGCTTCTGGAATAATTTCCCTCTACAGTATTATATTTCTATATACTCCTCCATATTCCTTCCTTCTTAAATTTTTCAGGGTTTTTTCCATTTGAACAGCCACATATGTGTTGAACTAAGCTGCAAATTGCAATTAGTTTAACTTTACTAATTAGATCATTCTTTAGTTTTTCTTTCCTTCATTCTTACAGCTGATGCATCCATTTAATGGAATGGTGTACATAAGAAAAAAGCCAAACAATAATGGAATCCCTACACAATGGAAGAAAAACAAAAATCAAAACAAAGAAAACTAAACCAAACTAGACAGAGGGTAATGTGTTTCAAATGAATCAGGAAGACCCATCTGTACTCTGACAAACTTTCATCACACTGCTCGCTGAATAGTAGGCCTTTCAGCTTGATTGTACAGGCAGATGCTTAGAGTGCTTACATGGCATAGCTCACACTGAAAGGTTCTTTCCAGTAGAAAGAAAAGCTTACATTTTGGTGTAAAAGGAGGGTTATTGCCACTTTGTCCCCTTTCTCAATAACATTGCTGCTACAGTAGGTAAGAAAGTAAGATAAAAATGTTTCTCATAACTCTTTTGTATTGTTTCCTCCTTTTGCTTCTCATATCACTTCTGTTCCCTTTATCGCCCTGGTTTCCCAACTGTTCTGCAAGTGATTATGCATATATGTGTATGTGTGTGTATATATATGTATATAAGCAAGGTATTAAAGATGACTGTGAGGGCAGTACACAAATCGAGATGGTTTAATACTGTAAAACAAAAGCATAGCAAATTAATTAATTTCATTAACAGCACTACTTTTGCTATTGGTGGAGTCTTGCACATCATTAATCATCATTGCTACACAGATAAAAAGCTTAGACTTCAACACTCATCTTTCAAATTGGCTGTAAGTATACAGTACCATGGATTTGATGTAGCAGTTAGTGCGGGCAGCTTCTATCTTTGCAATTTCTTATTCATGGATGTTCAGGTGATCAGACTTAGGGCGCTCTTTGATGAGCACCAAAATGATTGATCTTCTCTCTTCATTGTTTTTCCTCTTTGAGCTTCAAGTTTTTAATGCTCTTTCACCTTCCTTCCAAAAGGGGTGGTTTTCTCTGTCCTGCTACTTATTTATTCATCATGCCAATCATTCTTTTGTATCTGTCAGGATGTCCTCTGTATTTACAGTCCCTTGCATTTACTGTGTCCTTTGGCAATGTTTTGTCTATCCTACAAGCAGCTACTCTCATTGTTTTTCCCTTTGGCAGTGAAAGTACCAACAGGTTTATATGCCATCACATTATTAAAAGGAGCTCGTATGCTGTGTTGGTTGCACAATTTTACTACGCTTATTCAGATTGAAGGACAATTAATATTAATTATATCCTGAGTAGTGTACTTATAATTTCTAAGTGTTACATGCATTCTGTTTCAGGAAACAGACCATCATTTCAGGGGTGGAGATGGAGCGATCTACCTCCTTGCTGAAGCAAATGAAATGGACTCCGGTACCTGAGTCTGCTCAGGTCTGTCTTATCACATTGCTTTGGGCAGTCCAAAATGCACGGGTTTGAATTCAGATATTTTGTCTCTGGTCTTTTACGCTTCTCAAATTATAGCAAATACCTACAGCAAAGTGAGGAGCTGGACTACTTCACTCCTGTGGAGGGAAGGATGTGATGTGGGGTGGAAAACAAGGATTTTTATCACAACTATTATATTCATAGCTCCTTCCTCTGTCCATGACTTTTTACAGCCTCCTCTCAGGAAGGCAAATATTCTCATCACTAATGAACAGAGATGCTGCATCTATCATCCACCCCTGGACAGAAAGAAAACGTGGTAGAGTCAGGAGTGGGAACTACCATATCTCCTGCATCACTGGAGTATCATCACACTTTCCTCCCCTGCCCAGGCCTGATGGGCTGTCAATGCCTTCTCAGGCTGATGCCTCTTGCTGATTAGCAGGGAAAATCTCCACAGAAGGTATCCAAGTGCTGTCAAGATTTGGACAGCCTTCTCTGCAGATTGCCAAAGAGTCCAGCATTTCCTGTTTACATTCTGTACATACGCATGAGGACACCCTGAAGTCACTCTGCACTTACAGTGTTGCAACTAAAGTAGATGTATTCTGGGAGGGCTTGCACTAAATGTGTGGTATTTTTCCAGGCATTTTCATGATCTTTCTTTCATGGCTATTGAAATAGCTGACAAGATCAGGCAAAATAAGCCAATCTGATGTATGAATGGCAGTGTTTATTTAACATAATTGAAGGTAACATTACCAGAAGTTGTGTGCTTTTGAAAACAGCGATGTGGAAGAAGTTTTCTTCCATTTTCTTAGAGGTAACCCAGATGAGCACCTCAGACCTTTCCAGGGGAAGTGACGCAAATAGGACCACTCTGATACAAGCAGCTGAGTTGGGTTCAAGTACACAGCCGGTGGACCTGAATGCACAAACGTGCCCAGTTTGTAAAAATGAAGCAGAAGGATGTCACCCTAAAGGATGTTATGTATCATTTGTGTGCTGAAGATTCAATTTCCAGCTAATGTGCAATATCTGCAGTAATCAAAGATTTCTCCAGAGGTAAAATTGACTGGCAACTTAGCTTTGTTATCCTGATAAGGAGATACCATGTTGTATTTTTGCCTTCAGAAGGAAAAAGAACACAAGACTTATCCAGTGCTTGCTTATGCTGACAAAGTGACTGAAAAACCAGTGCAAGAAATAAATTGAAGTGTTGCAATAGTGGCCTATAGGGAAAAGTGCTAGAATAATGGAGGCTGGGCTGCCCAGCATTGCTCTGAAACAAGGAGGAGAATGTGGCCAGCTGCTCAGGCAGAAGCCAACACAGTTGTGATGCATCTGCTCATTGAAGTGAGGCTGGGTGAGAGCCTCAGTTATTCTCTGGCTGTGCGTCTGTTCCTCTCTAGTGGGAAGATCCCATGACTGTTTGCTTCTCAGGCTTTGGCTTGTTATGTGGTTGCAGACAGGAATATTTCTTTGCATCCATTGATTTGTTCTTTGGAGGTTGCAGGCATCACATGAAGCAGATGAGCAACAACAGAGTCATGAGCAAAGGCAAGAGGGAAAACATTAGAGTCCTGCAAGACCTTTCTTTGCTTTTGGGAGACAGCTTATCTCCAAATAGTTGCATTTATGTATAAATAATAAAAACCACACTAGATCCTTTGCAGGCTCTTCTGCATCTCAAAGGAAAAACTAATAGATAGTAATGGATATAAACTGCTTACTCATGCACTGCTTATGTTTTTTACATTAATAAGATATTACAGTAAATACTGACGCAAAAAAAGAAAAAAAAAAAAAAAAACATTATTAACATTCCTCTTTACCCACATATATATATATCTGTCCTGCTATTCTCCCTGAAATAGAAGGCTTCTTAAATTATTCTCAAGAACCAAGTCCACTTGATGTGCAAAAATGTTGTATGAGACACAGGATATGCATTACCACAAAACTTTAAGGAGGGTTTTCCACTTAACTTATGTTTGAAAATAATCAAAGAGCTGGTGAGAAAAAAATACTTTCTTGCCTTAAAGAGCAACAATGAACAATGTGGATCCCCAGGACTTTGCTGCACTGTTTCCTTCAGGTCTGCTTTGGAGACCTTCACTCTCAGTTTATTCTGCATTTTCTAGGCATAAAGTAATAGTAGAACTTTACTGTTTGGCTTCCCTTGAAAGAACTTGTGAAGGGACATGATGCACTATAATTAAAAGTGGAAGGAGAAATCACTGTCACAGGCTTCGTTAATTAATTCAGCATCTAGATTTGACCTGTGCCAATTTGAAAATATAAAATTAATTTGTTTAATATGGGAAAGTCATTCAACAGTTTGATTGCACTAATAGAAGGAACAGATGCTCACCCCTTTTCTGCACTTCCTTCTCTGAAATCTGACCTCTTGAAAGTTACCTTCATATGGATTAAGGTTGGACATTTTAATGCCTTGTCCAGGGATTGTGTATATAATGATTTCAGAGAGATGCTCCTTCTGCCAAGAAGAGTGCATGATCTGAGGAAATCAGAGATTACTGCACGGAGAGATGGTGTGAAGGGAGTGTGTTCAAAGAAGAAGAGGCTAAAGAGCAAAGACTTCTTAGTGCTACACCTATACTTCTCAAGAGAAAACAGTCATAGAACAGATCTAAGTCGCATTGTGCCCTCCTATTACTCATGTAATTTGAAAGGAATTTCAAGGCTAAATTGTTTATGTACATTCAGTTCCTTTTGATCTTAAGCAGCAATACGTTATATAGCAGAGTCCTTATGAAATGTGAGCACGTGGCAGCCCAGCTCAGAACCATCAGAGCTTGCTAACTCCTCCTATAACCACAGCAGAAGCAGCCACTAGGGCCTGCACTCTAACAGAAGGGAATCCTTCTCCACTGCATGCAGGAGGATTACAAATTATCTTACCTTCCTAGGTCCAAGTCAGCTAACAAAGTAGTTAGGCACAGAGGTGTCGAGCCCAGCAACACCTTGATGTATTTTAGAGTGGAGAACAGTATGTCAGACTGAGGGGGAGTTTTCCAATACTTATTTTATGGCAGTTTATGATAATTACTCCCTCTGAGAGGCTCCCAGATAATAAGAAATATATATTATTTATTGAGCATTCTATGTAGAGACAAAGGAAACAAACCTAATCTATGACTTTATATTTTAGCAAAAGAAATGTCTTATTCTCTCTGGTTGATATTCATATTTATGTCCTCTGGCAGCCACAGGCAGTGAAAGGAGATGTCACAGTGGGAGAAGTTGCAGGTGCATCCACGTCACACCTGGTACTACTGATATTGAAGCTTTTATTTTTTCTGTCAATTTGTCTGCATTCACCAGGTGATCACATAACCTTTCACAATCACTGTTTCTTTTTACAGAGGAAAGGAGGAAACCTTTGCCTGAGAAAATCTGTGTGATGAACAACAGCTAATTTTGGCACCTCCAATGAGAGAGCTTACCATTTCCCTCAAGCCATCATCTCAATTAGAGGGGCTTAGCAAAGGTTTAAAGGACATTTGAGCTCTCTTCTTCAGGTGCAGCCAAGCACAGGAAGCCAAGCTTCACGGGAAGAAAAACATCTCTAAGTACCCAGTAGAGCCCTGTATTCAGCAGCCAAGAAGCTCAGAGATCACAGACATATGTTGAAACCTTGAACATCTGCAGTTAATGGGGAGTTCACATGGGTTCAGTTTGAAAGAATAGCTTGCATTTTTCTTTCCTAGTCTGATAACTGATCAAACACCTACTTGCAGTTATTGCTTCCAGCAGTGGCAAATTTGCACAGATTTGAAAGGAAGATGAGCAGTTTTCTGACTATGATAGTCCTGAGTCAAATCTCAGAAGCACAAATACATATTGCTTCATTAGCAACAGCGGGCTTTGGATCAGACCCACTGTCTATGTACCAAATTATACAGTGTTATTAAGAGAAAAATTTCTTCCTGGCCTCCCGAGTAGGTAAAATTTAAGCCCTGCAGCATGAGGTTTTAGTCTCCCATTTTACTGTAGTTTGCATAGCTTGCCAGAGCTTGCATTATGTTTAATGTTTCCCAGGCATTCCAATCCAGTTCTTCAAAACCCTGCTTAAATAGAGTCCCTGCACCAGTGGCTTCCAGGTTATACAGAGCAAAAAGTAATCTTTGTTTCGGATATGGACTAAGATGAATTCACTAAGTTCTCATTCTGGGACTAGGAAAAGGAAGAAAGTTTGTAATATTTCCACTGTTGTACAAAATTCAAAATTAAAAAAAGAATGCTTAACATTAATTCACTTTCCTAGCCTTTAATGGCTTAAATCCAGCCAGTGACTGCTTGATCAAGTAAATCATATGGCAGTGTTTACTCCTTAAATGACATTGGTGCATGCGTGAATGTACAGAATTTTTGTGATGTCATTGCAAGTCACTTGGTTGCAAATACTAAACAATAAAATATGTGGGAGGAGTTGGTGATCCTCTTAAGTCTTTTATCTTAAAATAATCAGTTCTTTCTTTTCCCTCCCATTACCATTTGCCCATAGTCAGTTCAAATTCTTTCTTAGAATACAATTTCATTCCAGAACTTGTACTGATGATCTACATGTTGTTCTGATCAATTCCTTTAACAAGATGCTTTGTATAATGGGATTCCCATTTTTCCTCTTTTTTTAAGTCTCTGCATATGTTTCAGTAGCATTATGGAAAATAGTTACATAAGAGGGAAGCTTATCCCTAGCTAGAAAAGCTAGCATGAAACTGGCTTTCTCAGTTTTGTCCATTGCACAGCGGAAAAGACAGACTGCTGGTGTGAGAGTAAAGATTTTAAGGAAGAGATTAATTATAGTGACAGATTTGTATATCTCTGCCTCCTTACCATGCACCCTTTGACTACCGCAATGTCTACTCTTCTTGAGTAGAAAGGAGAATTGTGTGGTGCTCACAAGGATGAGATGGACACAGCCTTGGGATTTGCCTGAGGATCACAGAAGACCTAAGGCAGATCTTGGAAAGAAG